TCTCATCCAATTTTGATATTTGAAAACTCAGTCTGACCTCCTGTGCAACACGTGCCACATACTATCCCTTTTATACACGTCGTTCGTGTGCAAAACTGGAGACTGATAAAGCATGTTTTCCATAAAAAAAAATGTATCCACATATTCTTGACTTGAAGGTCTTAAGCCATTGTAGAGTAAGACCTTTAATTCAGATACCTACCCTGTACAACGTGACATCCGTTGCTTCCATCAGTGAAACTACAGGAATCATTAACCTGGTGGGCTTTTTTCCTCTCCTTTCCGTCATGAAGTTAAAACAAACAAAAAAACAAATTTATGCCAGGAAAACTCAATATTTCTATTGAGCATGCTTCTAATTACTAACTCGTATTGAAAAATAAAAACAGGCAAAAAAAACCTCGTAGACATTTTGCTTCTGACTCAGCTCCTCCTCCCTTTGTACAGCAAGGGGTGGCACAGGGGGCTGGTGTGTGGGGAGTCCTTGGCTTTCAGTCTTCTCATTTTTCAGTTCCTTCTCAGGCCCCCTTGGAGCTGTGCATCCTTCTGTGCCTTCTTCCTGCTCCTGAAAATGAAACTGAAAAACAAAAGGTTGTTGCATCTGTTTCATGGCACAGTTCAAAAGTGAAAAATGGAGCTATTTCAGGTTTCTATCAGTGCTGAAGATGTCACAATCAGAATGAGAATGTCTCCAGTGAATTATGATGGAAATTAATGAAACTTCACCAATTCTGCAGACACTTTCTTCCTAGTAAAGGAAATGAGAACTGGACATCCAAATATCTCAATCTGAACCACTAAACTTCTGACAGCTGCTCAGAAGAGCAGAGGTGACAGGAAGGAACGTGTGCTCACCTCTTAAAACTATGGGGTTAGGCTTCCATCAGGCTTAAAATGGCTTGAGTGGTTGAAGTCTGTTCCCCAGCTCCATTGACATTAAGCAAATACTTTCTACTTGTTTATCAGTGTTGCTCTTACTCTGCCTACCCTGCAAAGGCAGCACAAAGGAACGTCAGGAACATTTGCAAACAAATGCTGCAGACATTATATGTAGGTTTGTAAATGCCAACAGTGATTCAGCCCTAAATGACAACAGATTGCAGCAGCAGCCAGGTCTTAATAATTAACTCAGAAGGCCAAGCTGACCCCAAGTCATTCCTCTAAGGGAGGCAGAGAGGGGACACCTCACACAGCATGCAGGCCAACCTGATGGCAGGGAGTGGTGGGTGCCACCATCTCCCACCAGCAGCCAGCAGAGCAGACCTAAGGGTGCACTGTGGGTTTCTGGGTTACAAAAACCTGGCACCCGCAGTGCTGTGCAAAGCCTTGAGATGTCTCCTCCACCAAAACATCTCTCAGACACTTCTTTCTCAGCGTGATCCTACTCCAAAAATCTGAACCAGGAAAACCTCAGGGGAGGGGTGTGGGAGCTAGGTGAAAAAGGAAGCCCTATGGAATACAGCAAGCAGAGCATGTCTCCAAGGGTCTCTCCACATCCACACTCCTCTGTGCAGAAAGAGGGGTTTCCTTCTGTCCTCCCACACTTTTTAAAATTTTATTTTCCTTTTTTTTACCTTGCATAAGCAGTCAGCTTTCGAAGAACTGGCATGGAAGTAAAAGAGGAAATGACACAGCTGGCTTTACCATTGACAGTAGGGACTGCAGTTGCTCCAGCATCTCCAAAGTAAGCAGATAGCAGAAACCTGGCTTTGGTAGGAAACTCTTACATGTAGCTAACCTAATATTTGGTTTTTTTCCCCCTTTTTCCAAGCTCCCTATCCATAAGATTCGCTCACACATGGAGATCAGAAATGAGCTACTGAGGACAGAGAAATACACAGTCACAATCTGTGACAATGAATGGCCTCACAGCCATGGTAGAGCTGCATCTAGCATGGAGTTGAGTGCTGGAGCTGAGAGTGAGCTTACCAGGGAGGTGTAAGCAAGAAAAAAGGAATGTGCCCATGATAAGAGACCCAAGGAGTGAGCTCCTGGACGGGTCATTAAGTAAACCTGGAAGCTAGGTATTTTTAATACAAATGATATTTAATAAAGGGAGTGTATGTTCCAGGAGAGGACTGTATCTCCCAGAGCCTGACATCATTCCTCTGTTTTCACATATCTGGAAGGAATTTCTCCCTAAACACACAACCATCATTCTTTTTCTTTCTTTTTTTTTTTTTTTCTTCTTCTTTTTTTTTTTTTTGGCCCAGCGCATTTATCACCAGGTAATCCTGCTGACAGAGCATCACCTGGAATGAATTTACCTGTGCTTGGGAAGAGTGCATTGTGACTGGGTCCTGCGTACATTATTTAAATGGCAGCACTAAGGAAACAGCCTGACTGCCAGAGGTGTTGCACACCTGCGGGTTCTACTTGAAATCGGTGGAAAGTGGAGGCTGAGAAACATCTCTTTTGCATTCTGAGAACTGAAAAATTTATCGGGAGGTTATTGACGGTTTCTAATGGTGCAATCAAATTATTATAAGCAAAAAGCTACAAAATCAAATTCAGAACAATGAAAGCATCAGTTCATTAATGGAACGGTTCCAGCCATCTGGCATTCATATGTTCTGTGCTGAGGCTGTTATTGTGCAGACATAAATGACCCAATCTTACCTTCAAGCAAAAACTTTCATTAACTGAATATGTCCAAATTCTTCACAGTTCAGCTAATATTGCAAGTTCTTTCTTTATCCATTTTGTCCAGTTAATGCTCCAGCCCTAAGCGTCTCCTCTGGGGAGTGTGTGTTCCCCATCTCACTGTGGGCATAGCACCATTTGGAAAACTGTTAGTGACTCTTGGTTGCCAAAGCTCTGGAAAAAAGAGAAGGGAGTAAATGATATTCCAACAAAAGTAACAACACCTGCAACAAACACAGAATCAGGGCAGAAGTGCAGTGACATGAAGATACCACGCACTGGGATAGCTCTGCTTTCTGCAAGACTTCAATCGTCCTGAAGTTGCTCAGAAGAGCAGGACACACCCAACTGTGAGATAATGTTGTCATTTGCTCAGACTCCTCTGCACCCTCTTCAAACACTTGTGAGCACTGGGGTTCTGGAATTAAGTACACAATAAATGAATGATATATGAAACTCCAGGGAGCATATTTTTCTGCACACATTGCTGTAGCTGCTCTTCATAACGTGCAATGCACAATGGACTGCAGTATTTTAGAAAATCAGAACATTTTTCATAGCTGTTTACTTGTAAGGCCATTTCATCCCATCAATTGAAAGTGTACATTGAAAATACAGATTCATATAGATTGCACTGATTTGGAAATGACCCTTAAAGGCCATCTAGACATGGAAAGCTTCTTTATATCCAGTCTGTTTTTCACGTTCTCCTGTCATTCCTATCTCAGAGACACCAATGCTCACTTTTTTTTGTCACTAAGATACCAGTAATTGTGTTCACAGATACCATTTCCTTCAAAGCATTCATTGCACTGAGATGCAGCGTATTTCCAATCTGAAATGAAATTATCCACCCTGAGAAGAACTCCACACTGTGCTGCACAGGGAGGTGCCAGAGACACATCTTAACTGTAAATTCCCCAATTTTTTATTTTTTAATTAAAAACACCAGAGGTGCTTTCCAGGCCAGGGCTGAGCTGGAATGAGATGTGTAACTTTTCAGGGCTTTGTATGACTAATCCTGCAGACACTCGAACTGTATGAATGCTGAGAATTAAATGCAAATAGATCAATGCGCGTACGCATTCAGCATATTTATGATTTGAATCAATTCACAAAATCAGGCACATGGAGCTTATGTGGTTTGTTCTGGAAACAGACGCTTTTTCCAGACTGAGGGATGTGGAAACTGCTTCCCTATCTAATGCAATTCAGTACATCTGCATGTGATTAGAGGAACGCGCTACAGACTGCAGCACGGCACAGCCAAGCCCTGTGGAAGTTACATTCATTGAACTCCATGGAGCCACATGATCCTCTCCTCAGTATCTGCTTGTTTCTACGACTTTCAGAAGATTGCCTACATTTTCTATTCAGAAAATGAGAATTAGTTGATTACTTTAATTACTCGGGCTCTATACAGATAACAAGTCACTGTTTCAGGGTTCGGCAAGGCTGCATGAAGTTACTAACAGAAGTCAAAGCAAATAGAAAGATCATAGTATTATAAAAACATTAATGGTGGAAAAGATCTCCAATGTCAGTCCATCCCCACCATGACCACTAACCACATCCCTCTGTGCCACATCTGCACACTTTGTGAACACCTCCAACTTTCATCACTTCTGTGTACTAAAAAATACTCTTTTTTTTAACGTATGCCACCATTTTGCCTACAATTCCATCTCACTTGTGAGGCAGCCTTTTCCCACCAGCACAGCCAGGACTGCTGTTCTCCTGTATAACTAGAGAGTCACTACCGACCAGCAAAGCTGAGTGACCATCCCACTGTTTTTATGGAAGTGTGGAGATATCCAGTACACAGAAGCAGCAGCTCTCTACATAAAGCACCTTCCTACCTGCACCATCTCACTGTGCAGCCAAGGAAAAGCTTTCCGCTTATGAAAAGCATATTGCCACAGCGGTGGAGAAATCACCTTTATGTTCTGAAGACCTGTTTTGCCTACAGTAGCCATGTGAGTGACCCTCGATCTTCCCCAAAGGGAGAGCTGACACCTGAGCAATCTGAGCTGCAGTCCAGACAGGATGCAGGGTGTGAACAGCCATCAAGAGCTATTCCGGTACACAGTGTGCAGATGCTAAGCCAGGTATTACAGCTTGTGACAGAATATCCTTCCTGGGCTCAGTGGCCAATGCTCAGTAGCTTGCCTTGAACACAGGAATAAATCTGCTGGTGTCTGGTTTCCAAGGAAGCACAGTGAGTGCTTTAAATGGGCTGGGTCCTTCGTTAGTAACTTCAAGCGCTGCCGGAGGTGCAGCCGGAACGTTTAGCTGGTTGTAATCTAAGAAGTCTTTCACTGAGAGTGTGGAAGCAGCAAACCGTTTCAGCCACCGAGCACTGAATCTCTGTAGCATACGCTGCCTTTGCACTAGACGCTTGCACATGCAGAAGTGGCCTCTAGATGCTACTGCAATCCAACTAAATCGGACCTTATTGGACAACTCACGAGGAAAAGAAAAGAAAAACAGAAGTCACTTGAACCTGTTTTTCTATACAGAAACAACTCCTCTAAGCCTGTAAAAGTATCCATCCTGCAACCCTGTCCCTTTCCAACTGCACGGCTTCGCTGACCCCGCGGACAGGCTCAACTTGAAAGCGCTGTTCCCAGACTCTCGCTGCAGACGCCGGCGGGAGCTTCGGGCACTTCTGCAGGAGGAGCAGCCCGCTCGCTCCGGGCCCATCCGCACACCGCTCCGCGGCCCTCACTTCAGGTACCTTCGCTTATCCTCGCCGCGCAGCTCGGGGGGCTGCAGCGGGGCGGGCGGGGGTTCGCGGGGCCGCACCTGGCTCCAACCCGGCGGGGGCGGGCGGAGCGGAGGCAGCGCGTCCCGTTCCTCCCCGTCCCTCCTCCTCCTCCTCCTCCTCCTCCTCCTCCTCCTCCTCCTCCTCCTCCCCCCTCCCTGCGGGCCGGCGGCGGCGGAGCCGCGCTCCCTCCAGCCGCGCCCGCGGAGCCCCGCGCAGCCCCCGCAGGTAAGCGCCCGCCGCCCTGCCCGCCCCGGGGCGCCGCTCCCGGCTCCGCGCCCACGGTGCCTCTTTTCCCCTCCACTCGCGGTTGCTTCTGTGTTTCGGAAAGTGGATTAAACGTCGGTGAGTGTCTGTGCGGGAAGCGAGCCGCTCCTGTGGGATGAGCGTCTTTGGAGCTGGCCCGGAGGGAATAATGGGCACTTGTTGGATTGAGGGGCACTAACACTGCTGCCGTTGTTCGGTTACTTAGGGTCCGTCCTGTTCTGTTCTGTTGTTTTTTGTTGTTTTTTTTTTTTCTTTCTCCCTCCGTTACGTCTCTCTTGATCTGGTTGTACCAAGTTAGGGCAGTGGAAGTAGTCCGAACTAAACATGGTTGCCACCTCTCCCTCCTGACTTCCTCGGTCCTTCGGACGATGGGCCCGTGGAGGTGGGATGGGAGCTGCCCTCGCGGGTCCGCGCAGAGGTGCGGGACGGGATAGGATGGATGGCAAACGCAGCGCGGTAGGGAGTGCCGGGGGGTGGAGGGGAGCGCCGGGACAAAGCCGCCTGCAAACTGCAGTGAGAGGGAGGTGGAACCAGGGGGACCCGCTACGTTCCTCATTCTTTTTAAAGACCTGCAGTGGGAAAACCCAGAAAAACCTTCCTTTGAGAACATATGAGAAGTCTTCTGTATAGCCCTTCAGCAGGAAGGTGTTGGAATGTCTAATCTGTTTTTTTTCTTCTCTTTTCTTGTGGATTTCTCGTTGAAACAAGCTCACACCTCTCTGGTTTCTCCTGCATTTAAGTCGTCTGTGAATAAATTAGAAGCCTCTCTAATCCCCACTTCTTTTCCTTTCCTTTTTTTTTTTTGTTTTACTGCTGCATTTTTCCTTTTGTTTTCTGAAGATTCAAGGCAGAGCCTCCAAAGGCAGTGGGTGCTCCCCAAGTGCTGGGGTAGCGGGGCAGCTGCTGCCTTAGACTGCTGGAGACTGTTGCTCCTGTATCTTTTCAAAGAAAGGCTCTGGCATGCAAAGTCAGGTTTGGTGTGCTGTACCATTTGGTCTGAAGTGAGTCACTCTCAGGTCTGAGAGTCGTGTTTCAGTCTGGCAGCCGTGCAGCCTCGTTACTCCCGTGTTAGGATGGGCAGAGCAGTATTAAAACAATATGTGCTCGCAGTTTCAGCCATGGACTGAAGCAGTATTCTGCCTGCAGAGGTGCAGCTGAAGGTCTGTCCTGCAGCACAGGCTGTAGGCGTGCCATGCACTTTTCCTTACCTGATAAGTGCTCAGAAGGTAGTTTGGTGTGTCTCAATTTTATTGTTGTTTTTATTACATACAGCTACTCAAAATCAGATGCTGTCCTTTAGAAAAGATTGGCACTGTCCCATGCTATGCTATTCCACGTGCACTGTGGTTGTTCTTCTTTGCAGCTTCAAGTAACTGAGGAATTACTATTCAGGAATTCTGGAGAGTAGTTTTGTGCTGCTCTTATCACTCCCTACTGCAGGTTGCACTGCTTGGACCCTTGGCTGCTATAAACCTTGTTCTGGGAAGTTACTGGTAACTGCTGCCTTGAGTGGGGGAAAAATACTGACTGGTGTCTGCTTTCTTTCCCTCTCTTCAAAACAAATACTGAGAATGGAATGATTAAACAGCTCTTGAGATGAAACACATGTGCAATGCAAAACTGAAGTAATGCTAGACTGTGTACCCAGCTTCAGTATGTGAACTGGATGTCTGAGCAGCAGGCAATCCTAGCACTGTGAGCAAAGACACTTCTGGCCACGTGGCTTTCATCAGTAACTCTGAGAGAATGTTTTGTAACTAGAGTATAATTCATTTTCTGTTAAGAAGAGGGATAAAATAAATGATCAGTCTTTTGCTTGGTCTTCTGATAAGTGTCCCAAAGAAGGCGTGTGGGGAATCTGGGAAGGAGTGGTGGGGAAAGCGTTCTGATCAGGAGCTGAATCTTAGGTAGGATCTGTGGTAGGGTCAGATTTTACATCGCTGTGATGAACCATTAATAACACCTCAATGAATAGTTAATTGTTTTTTTATAGCCTGTCTGTATTGGGTTTGCTTTGTCCAGTATTCAAGGGTTTAAACTGAAAAGAAAGCATTTCTTCCCAATATCTTTTGTCACTGGCAGACCACCACCATCCAACTTTGAGAACCTGGCAACATTGGTGGTCAGCTGGCTTTGAGCACCTCTAGATGGTGAGATGCCAGCAGCTTGTGAACACCTTCAGAGTGCCATTTTCTGCGTAGATGGCGGGGAAAACAGCCAAAATGCTGAGTGTAGTTCTGTCACTGATGAGAACTTGTTGGTAACCATTGCTTGTGGGCTTGGTGATGGTCCAAGAATGGACCTACAACACACTGAGAGCAGGAACAGGTCGTACTGTGAAGTTGTTGTCCTTTCTGTCGTCATTGCCAAAAACAAATTGGAGTTTGATACGTTCGTGGGAATTCCCCATCTTTTCATAAAGAAACATATGTGTGAAATAAGGTACGCGTATATTCAGCTTAAATGCATGTAAATGAGTTATTTGTACCTCAACTGCTAGAAGCAATGCTAAAGAAAAGAAGCGTACCACTGTTCTACTGAAAGGAAAATAGAGTAAACAGTATTTTGTCCCTGCATCACCTTCAGTTGTTTGTAAACTAGTTCTTTGTATGCAGTGCATTATTTTAGTGCTTCTTCCTGCACAATGAGATACATACATATATTTTTATACCTTTTTTTTTTTTTTGACAGTAGTAGGAATAGAAAAGGAGAGGAACAGTTGAACTTCAAAAAAGAAATAACGTGATTATACAGGACGAAACAAACACAACACAGGAGTTATGGAAAGAGAACTGTAATGGGTCTTTATGTTCTTTATGGTTATTTCTTCAGATTATGTGCCCATTTCACCACTTAGAATTTAATGATGATTTGAAGGGAGAAATCTGAAAGCTCTGATCATGAATGACTGATGGTGGCAATGGCTTGAAAAGGTAGTGATTATAGGTGTGTGCAGCTTTGCTTTCCCATGCATCACTAGGGTGATACTGTAGAAATGCAGCCTGCCTTCAAGGCTGAAAAACATTTTACATTTTGTCTGAGTATCCTTTACAGTTTGCTTCATCAATGGACCATTGATGTCAGTGATCTACTATGAACACTTTTGGATCAGACCCAAGGCTGATGTGTTATTCTGACAGAACTGTGCAATTAGTCCCAGGTAGTCCCAACTGTTTAGTGCCAGCTTGAGTAGTGTGAGTGCAACCACATCCCATGTGGCCACCATGTGACCATTGGAAGAGACCTTCAGAGGTGATTTGTGCACACTTTTCTGCATAGAGGAACAATAGCCTTGCTTGGAGTAGTGTAAAGTCTTCAGCATTTCCTGACAGGCACAGCCTGGAGTGGTTTGTTAAACACATTTTTTCTGACTCCTGCCTTTACATTCGATTGGATTCAGCTTCTTGAGTCAGATAGTGTCAGCAGTTATGTTAGTGCACATAAAGGGGAGAGTGCTGGTGCTTTTAGCCCTGGGCAAGGAATTTCCTCTTAGAAACAAAATGAACACTTCCAGCACACGCCAGCAGCCATGGATGCCACTGTGGGCAAGGTATGTGTGCCTGTGCCAGCGGCTTAGTGGTAGCCAACCACTGTTGCTTTGATGCTGGCACTCGTGAGGATCATGGCCAACAGACCTGGGTGGTGATAGGCCGTGGAGTCAGCTGCTGAGAGTCAGTGGGTCAGCAGGAGAAGTGCCTCCAGATGTGCATGTGGAAGGCTGCATCTCCCTGGGGACGAGGTGGGGTTTGGGCCATGGGTACCGTATTGGAGACAACTGCACTGTAGTTCTGTGCCAGCTCTTTTTTTTTTTTTCTTTTTTTTTAACCTTACTTTAACTTGAGAGGCATTGGAACTTTTTTTTTTTTTTTTTTTTCTTTTTTGGCTTCCAAGTGGCATGAGCTGGATAAAATATGGTGCTTTCACCTTCTATTTAAAAATACAAAGGTGCCAAGTGTGCAAGACTAATACTATCTTTCTGTTTTTGCTTCTGATTGTGGGTAGCAGGCAAACATCTGCTGAAGTCAGGTTTTTGAGCAGTGCTGATGAATTTGATTGTCATGCATGAACTTCATCTCCCAGAAATACACCGGTATGAGTGAGGCCCACGCACATTTTGCCTTTTCCTTAAGAATTTATGTGCTGTAGTGACCCCCTGAGTAGGGTGAATTTCACATGCACCCTCCAGACAGTACACCATTTCTTTGCCAGATAGAAAATGTATTGCACACTGTAGTGCTTGCAGGAGCAAGCAAAAAAGCATTGGATTGACATCAAAGGCAAGATCTTTCTGTACAAAAAGCTGGAAATTTTTAGAGTGGTAAAAGCCTGGCAAAGGAAATGCATACTGTTTTTCATTGTAAGCCCCTCTCCCTCCCTCCCTGCCTCCTCCCCCTCTTTTTAGGGAGTGTGTGTCAATACAAAATGGTGCCAGCACATTATTTATGGGAGCAGTTTCCAGAGACTTTTCTTAGAAGTTATTTGGCCATTTGGAGATGATTGTTCTCAGCCTGGATGGAAAAATGTATGTATAACTAGGACAGTATCCTTTTTCTTGTCTTGAAGAAGCTAGCTGCAGCTCTGTTTAAAAAATAAAAAAACAGTTGAATGAGTACCAAATGTTCACTGCATAGAGAAATTTATATCTTCTTTTGGTGAGTGGTTATTTAAGAGTGCTGAGCTTAACATGAACTCCTTCAAGGAG